AGTTAAACAGATCAATACAACATGCGGCTTTAATCTTGTGAAGACATTTTTGAACAAAATGACAATGGCACACTGACACCAGACATAAAGTGGCGCCATCGGGCGGAATGAAAGCCGCCTTTTATGTGTGACGCTGCCAGCATCCTGCTTGCCTATTACCTGCCCCTAATGAGGGCGAATAACCGCATCGCGGCCGCCAGCTGTGATCCCTTTACGCAGCCGGTGGCCAAAGAGATGCTTCAATGCCTTAGTAGTACATACCATCCTCCATTCTATGTGTGTCACATAATCGTTTCTACATTGATTCATAGTGAATTACAGTTATTCAGTTCCTTCCAGTAAAATTCTCAGGGCTTACGGCTTTGTACAATCTATCCGGGTGAAAAGGTGTTTGGAACAGCTGAAAACGATGAGGATGAGGATGACCATGCCGCAGCTCCTCCAGCTCATTTGCTGGCACAGGTGCTTGAATCCCCCGGTTCAGCTAAGTCAGTCGGAAATACCGTACCCCACTAGTATTGTGTATAATTACAAGGGCACTTTAAGCCCCATACTGTCTGGAAATGAGAACAACAATAGGCCAATGGACTTAAGAAAGACAAGGATTTGATAACCCCTGGTGGGTGGAATTTATCGTGTCCTGTCAATCACTTTCTTTGTTTAAACCATAGAGAGAGAAAGAAGTAAACAGTGAGAAGTTGGTTCATCCAATGACTGATGCCTCATTTTCCCAGCATTAATAAAACTATCAGTTCAAGCTTCATTAATTTATTTTAGGATTGTTGAAACTGAATGTACGATATGGTCCTAAAGATTAATGTACACCTTCCCGGACTCGCAGTCTGTCCCAGGACACAAAAAGATTATCAAAATTGTTCACACCCCCCTGACTTCGGTAGGTTTGTTAAATAGCCACCTGCCAGTCCTGCTAAAAACTAGACAGGTAGATATTTTATTAATCTCATAAAGGAAACTGCAATGTGGCAGCAACCAGGCACAGTACAGTGCAGTGATTCAGTAGGTAAAAAGTCAAATAGTAAAAGGACAACAGCTGAACATTTGACTGTATACCCAGTGTGCAAACGTCAGCCAATGGCAGTGTGTTAGATCCTATGGGTCAGAGACCCCCAGTGAAGGCCCTCCTATGGCTGTGAATCATCACTTTGCAGTATTGTATGAGTCAGTGGCCAGGCTGGGTGGAGTTCTGTTTGGAGGAATTTCCTCCTGTCAGGTTAGTCATACTTTCTGTCAAAAGGCCTAAAATTAAGGGATTTGGTTTCCCAGAGTCCTTTGCAAATGTAAAATTCCTTATGCTATATAGGGACTGCTGTCCTTTTTAACCAGAATCCTATGATATTCTGTGAGATCATGTTATGCGATATCAGTTTTACAAAGGAAGCCAAATATAGACTGCATACACACGTTATTTTTGGCCTTTATATTTCTCACTGGGTGTCGATTCAGACCTAAGCTTGATCAATAATTTACAGCTTCTAATTGGGACGTTTGATCAAACAGTAGATGGAAGCCAGCTGTGTAAGTCCGGTCCGAACTTTTAATAGGGCTTTCATGCTTTCTTAAGCTCCCTGTTACAGTTTATGATGCATCCTTAATTAATACCTTTAATGGCCTTTTATCCAAGACTCTAACAAGGTGTTAAAGTTGATCATGACAGGATTGCAAAGTTCACGCAGTTCGGCTCGAGGTCGCCCATCCCCCTCACCTCACACTCTACAGCTTATTCACCTGCTCCTCTTCTCCTCTTCCTCTCCATTTATCTCATTCCTCATTCCCTCTATCACAACTCAGCAGAATGCGAATTAAAATGCAACTGGACAGGTTTATATTTGCGGATCCGTCTGCGAGGCGCTCGTTCTGCAATTAATTAGGAAATGCTATGCTCCTGCTGACATATTCCTGGCAGATTGATGACTTCTCCATTGAGACACCATGTGCGGTTATGCTAATGATTAATGGCAAGAGAGTTTATGGCCATTATTAAACAGCATCCATGAAGATGCTTTCACTGCACAGCAAATTTAACCACAGAAAAATGACGGGATTCTTTTTGGACCTCAAATCAAGGTAGGATTTTTGTTTCTTATGAAATGACAGAGGCGCCGTTGTGGATGGGTGGGTTGTCCTGTTGGGGGGCACCATGGTGGATGGGTGGGTTGTCCTGTTGGGGGGCACCATGGTGGATGGGTGGGTTGTCCTGTTGGGGGCGCCATGGTGGATGGGTGGGTTGTCCTGTTGGGGGNATGGGTGGGTTGTCCTGTTGGGGGGCACCATGGTGGATGGGTGGGTTGTCCTGTTGGGGGCGCCATGGTGGATGGGTGGGTTGTCCTGTTGGGGGCACCATGGTGGATGGGTGGGTTGTCCTGTTGGGGGGCACCATGGTGGATGGGTGGGTTGTCCTGTTGGGATTCTGGATCCTACATCTGCTCGTGTGTTAGCAGTTTAGATGTGTTGCGTGGGCTTCAGCTTCTATGCTCCCTGTCTGTGAAACAAGCTTCCAGAAGACCTGAGGTATGTTAAAACTGTCAGTTCATTTAAATCAGGTCTTAAAACTTTATTGTTTGCTGCACATTTTCAATAAATTTTAATCATACACTAAGACTAATTAAGTTTAGTCATACACTGTCACTATAATATAACTCTTTTCAGTTAGCTATTTATTTCATTTTATTTATTTGTTTGTGTATTTAAATTGATTTTTTTGTCTTTTAAATGTGATTTTAATGTCTATTATTAAATTGTGCTCTTCTGCCTTTGTAAAGCATTTTGAATTGCCTTGCCTTACCTTACCGCAGTCCAGAGACATGCAGTACGGCTGACCAGTGTTTCTAAACCCCTCAGAATGTGTGTGTTCTGCGATGCACTGGCACCCCCTCCAGGGTGTGTCCCAGCCTTGTACCTAGTGCTGCCCAGGACAGGCCCCTGCCCCCCCGTGACCCTCACCAGAATATGCATAAATATATAATGGCTCGTTTAATTCAATGTAGTGTCCATGTCTACTGCCACATGCCTCCTGAAATCGATACACTTTTGCAGATGAACATGAATTGTGCAAAACTGACCCAAATTAACTTAATCTTGACCGTTACAACATCCATTTGTCTCTTAAAAGCTTAACCACTACAGGGTCACCAAAACAGCTACTGCATTTTAAATACTGAGCCTCTTATCCAGAGCAATTCGGAAATTTCCTATGTACTTCTACCAGTCAAAAGTTTTTGCACACACTGAAACTTTCTACGTAGGCATGTTACTCACTTAACATTTACTAAAAATACACTCAATTTTCTTTGCAAACGAATAAATTTACAGTATGTTCACCATTTGAGTACCTCTATCAGCAGTTATCTAATCTAATTATCTCTGATTCGTCAAAGTAACCTTTTGTAGCTGTTATAACAGCAGAGAAATTTCAAGGCATTCTTCCTACTACCAGTATGTGACATTAAATCTTGTTTTGGCTTATAATTTGAGTCTGTCATCACCACACAATAGGATGTCAGACATGCATTGTCACATGCTCTTTCGATGTTATAAAGGAAGCTTGTTTTATTTGACTTATATGTTAAATTTACAGATGTTCATTCAACTTTCCAATGCTTATCAAGAACAAATAAATAAATGGAAAAGTGGTAAAAGCAAAAACTTTTGACTGGTCGTGTACTTTTCTAAATGTTCATGTTTTATGCAATGCATTTCTAAGCAGCTGAACATACTGACTCCAAGGAGAATTCCCTCCTCAAAGGTATAACAGAATTCTCTTACTAAGACTGAAATCCAGGTCCTCTTTGGTTTGCATACCCCTTTCACAGTGTCCTGTTCTGCTTGCATAGGCAGATAGATTTATGTTTACAAATCACAAAAAGTCCTCCTTTCAGCAAGAGGCCAGCCTTACCGCCATGCAGACGGTCTGACACGTTCCTGCCGTTCCGGGTGCCCTGTTTCAGTGGCGATTCTGATAATCGGCACCTCTGATGCTGAGAGACACATTAGCTTTCCATAACCAGCTTCTGGGTGGGGGATACACTGAGAGGATCCTTCTGGAATCCAGCAAAGGCAGGAGATGCTCTTTCATTGCATGATTAAAGATATCCTTATCAAGCACTGTTTTAGTGATTGTAAGCCCCTGGGAAGAACTGAATGATGGCACCCCCCACTGTCTCATATCAAGGTCCTGAGCTTCACTCAGCTGCCTTCATGGATAGAAACCCTTGCGCTGGACCAGACTCTGAAATGGTCCGCCTTGGTTCTGCTTGGAGGACTTGGCCAGATTTGGCAATTGATGGAAGGAAGAGAAAAACTGAGAAACTTGAAGTTGTCTTAGTGACAGGTGCTACATCACCTGAGACATATGGCTTATATGGGCTTAATGCTAGCTGCTGGCGGTCATGGTTATAATGGAAGAACGTCCTTTCAGCTATTATCCAAACATCACGTTTATGTCTTGTGTGCATTTCTGAATGGATATCCTTTGTTTCTGACATGGCTATATTCTGTCAAGGTCATCTTCCAACAAACCTGATAGCCTTTCCACTTTGGTGGGAACATCTTCATTACTGGTCCTGTGTCAGAAATACAGAAGTGGGGCTTCACTAGACTACGGTATTGCTGGCATGGTGTCCCTGTACTGCGAATTCACTTTAATTCAGCTTTAGCCTTAGGGGCGACGAGGTTAAGACTGCATGGCTAATACGATAAGTGGATGTGCGAGAGGTATTCTTCGGTAATTGCAAAATGTGAAACTCTCATATCCTATTCTTATGTCTCTTTCAAGACATTAATGATGATGAATATCCCGAGTGAAATTATGTCATTTCGGATAAATGCTCCGAAAGCCCACGGCCCACGTTCACCCTTGAGGTGTCTTGGTCGTCCTTGCATCGCTTGCCACCTCCTCTCTGCTCCTTTCCACTCAAACAGTCGATCCCCCTTGCGCGACACTCCCTCCCTCGCAGCCTGCAGATAGTATTCGTATTGGACGAGGGAAGGAGCGCCTTTTACCCTTCACTGGCTACGACCGGTAACCGCTCTAGTGCATGTTATCATCACTCTATATTTGGTCAATGTTGTATTGCTTTTCTAGACACGCATGGGACCTTGGATTTTGCGCACAAACTCATGCATGCGCTTTTAAATATAAAGACGGTGCTTAGTTCTTTGAACCGAAGGTGGTATATCCTCTTCCTCCAGAGGCATATGCATTAGACACGGGAGCACGGGAGTGCAATTCTGGTCACGGACAGCGCATTTCACAGAGGGAAGGCTGTCCCGATATTTACTACGGAGGGACTGTCACCTGAGTAGCGACAGGCGACAAGCGACAAGCGGGCACCTGCAGTAGGATGTAGCGACATTCTCCTGCTACTTCCCCGTGGACGTGAGTTAAATATGTTTCATACGGCGTGGACATTCAAGCCTTATAACGCGGTGTTTAAGTGCTAAATCAGTTCTTGCAATTCAAGCAAGCGTTATTAACACTTAAATCTGAAAACTGTTTCCCATTTGCAATAATTTCATTTAATCGGAAACTTGTCAGATTATTTTGTTAAGTTCATAATATGATTATTATAATTATTATGTTTTATATTGAAGTGTCTGGTGCAGCATTTGGAGAGCAATGTTTGTCAAGTGAGCTCACCGATGGTCCCTCTCGCCCGGAATCAGGCCAATTCTTGCACCAATAATTAAAAAAAAAACAAACAATCAAGCACAAAATTCAGATTCAGAGATTGAGGAATTTGAGGTAATGGTACTCTGTAGTTATTTATGATCCGGTCCAACTGTTGATGGTTGTGGATCAGTGTACCGGGCAGTTTAGCTGTATTCTGCAGTAAACTGTACGATGGTCTGCCGTGTAATCGCTTGTCTTGCGAAAGTCGGGGCTTGGGACAGCCTGCAAAAATGTATCTGTGAGCATGCTGTCTTTATTATGACGCGTATTAATCTCACTCTCATTGACATTAATACATTTCTATCAAGTTTATGTCTTTATCCCATAGCTTTTCTTTTCAATCAATCATAATATCCATCGACTTTGCCTCGTCTGGAATGAAAGCAGTATGATTTATTCTCTCCGACGACAATAGAGCAGTACTTTAAATGCTGCAGCTGGATGAACGCGGTTATCCATAAGGCAGGTTATAGGCACCGGAATTCTGTTCATATTCTCCCCGGACCTCTCTCGGGATTTCCTGTTATTGAATGCGATCCCAAGTGATCTGACTAGGGAAAACATCCTCTCTTTTCAAACGAGCAACTAGGACACTGTTGTTTGCATGTATTTTTGCGCTTAAATATACATATATGAAAATGCTATTCTATGAACAACCTAATGGAAACGCTTCCATTTCGCGTTCAGGATCTAAAAAAAAATATATTATTTCTTGACACAGATGCTAACGGATGAATTTCCTCGCTGTTAGTACTAATAATACATTTAAATGTGGAACTGAATGTTCAAATTTGGCTGGGAGTAAACACTGAAGATTTACAAATAATGACTGGGAAAAGTTTCATTTCAGTGGCAATGATAAAATGTTGCATTATGACGTTTTCATTGCAGACTGATGACGCTATTAGGGAGTAAAAAGATGAAATCGGAAAAAGTAGAATGACAAAGGGAAAGACACAATGGAAAAGACAGGGAGAAGTGAAAAGGTAGATGGAAATGAATTCAAGGGGGCAGGTAAGAAAAGAGGGAATGGTGAGAGTGAGATAGGCATGGAGGTGAGAGGTGGTGTGACAATTAAGAGATGAGAAGGGGATGCTGATGAAAGGCTTCAGAGTGAGCCCCAGTGATCTGATGTGCAAACCTGGGCTGGCCCCCGCCCCGTTTTGTGAAGCGCACAATAAGCTGAGGGCGCCTCTTTGGCCAGCAGAAACACCTTCATTAACGCCGCGACCCCACAGCCGGGATCGACCCACACCGGATGAATGGGATTAATTGTGCTGTAATTGCCTCCTTCTGTAGATGTGTGCATTCATTATTATGACTAAATAGCTTCCAATTCAGCCTCCTTGATACCCCCCTTCTCTCGCCCTTTTGAGTGCCGCGTGCGTTCCCACTGTAATGCTTCCCTAAATTATTAAAGTGCACGGTTACATGCGTCATGATAAAACCAAGCACCGGTAAACTGTCCAGTACCTCCCATTCACTGGGCCGCGATATTTCTGCTAAGAATAAACAGTAGGCTATTCAGTAACTTTGTCTTGCTAGGCTTAAAACCTCACTTCACTCCTGTGCCATCGTTATTGTGTTTCTTGTCCGTCTCGTTTTCATACATCCGCCGTCTCAGCCCCTCATACCTTTACCTTCTGTTCTTTTCCCATCCCTCCGGCCATCCACACATCCCTCCCCGTCTCTTAATGCTGACAGCAGTATTTCTCCATGGTTCAATGCCATATGGATTTCTCCGTAAAACCGGGAAGATGCAGCAGCGAATATAGACAGGGAATAAAATCTGGATATGGTCTCAATAGTGCAATCACAGTGGAATGGATAGCAAGCTCTGGTGGCTCTAATTAACGAGTTACCCTATTGGTGGGCTGACAGACTCGATATGTGGAACCACAGCCCAGCTTAAGTGATCTGGCAGGAATATCTTATATATGACGAAATACTTGTCATTACGGTCATAGTTATATGTTGCTTGTGAATGGCAGTGACCAGCAAAAGGAGCATAGCGGCATCAGAGAAGCGCTCGCGGGCACCGCCGTTTCAATGTCGTGAGAACTACTTTCAGATGGAGTGGCTGTTTGACCGAAAGCTTGACCGCAGCATTAAACGAAGGTCAGAGTTTATAGGTGTGATGAAGTGATCGATTAGCTGTGTAAGGCTGTATCATTCTAGTTAATTACTGACAGTTACTCACTGTTAACAAGGGCTGTAGTTTGGTATGTATTGGTGTATTCTGAAGACCGGATGATCATAAGCAAATACAAATTGTTTTTAATCTCTAATTATCGTTGTTACATCTCGACTTTCATTTGTATGTTTTTTATTAATGAATGCTTATTGAGGGTTGTCTCTGTATCTGTAATGCTCATTGTGTAGCATTCACAGATTTTTGCTAATTACGTTTATTATGCCAGTGGGTCGTAGTAATACGCTATGGGTTTAGTGTCTGGTAGGTGTCATAAGAACATAAGAAATTTACAAACGAGAGGGGGCCATTCGACCCATCAATCTCGTTTGGGGAGAACTTAACTAATAACTCAGAATAGTTAAAATCTTATCTAGCTCTGATTTAAAGGAACCCAGGGTTTTAGCTTCCGCTACACTAGCAGGAAGACTATTCCATACTCTAACCAGGGGCGTCGTAAGGGGGAGGAAAGCTAGGACGATTCCAAGGGCCCCTGAGCGACAGGGGCCCTAAAAAAATTGGAAAATAACTGGATTGGTTTGGACTGGGGGGCCTAATATGATATGCTTTCATGGGGCCCAAAATCTCTAGCAACGCCCCTGACTCTAACTACACGCTGTGTAAAGAAGTGCTTCCTCAAATTTGTTTTAAAATGTTCTCCCGCTAATTTCCACTTATGGCCACGAGTTCTAGTATTTTGACTTATATTGAAATAGCCATTTGGCTGAACAGCATCCAGACCTGTTAGAATCTTATAGACCTGGATCATGTCCCCCCTTAGCCTCCTTTGTTCAGGCTAAACAGATTCAGCTCAGCTAACCTCTCCTCATAAGACATTCCTCTAAGACCAGGAATCATTCTCGCAGCCCTCCGTTGCACCTTTTCTAAGGCAGCAATGTCCTTCTTAAGGTATGGTGACCAAACCTGCACACAGTATTCTAGGTGGGGTCCTACCAATTAATTATATAAATGTAACATCACCTCCCTTGACTTAAACTCCACACACCTAGAGATATAACCCAACATTCTGTTGGCCTTTTTTATTGCTTCCCCACACTGGAGAGCTACCTTTATTTCAGTGGAACCCATAAAATATCTGTACTTTATATTTCTGCTCCCTGCATGGATTACCTTACATTTATCTGTGTTCAATTTCATCTGCCAAGTATCAGCCCAGTCGCTAATTAAATCCAGATCCCATTGTAGCCTCTAAGCTGCTAGATCAGTATCTGCTACACCAACCACCTTGGTCTCGTCTGCAAATTTAACCAGTTTACTGTATGTATTGGTGTCAATATCATTAATGTAAATTAGGAACAATAGTGGTCCTAAAATTGAACCCTGCGGTACCCCACTATGAACACAGGCCCACTGTGACATTGTGCCTCTAATAACTACTCGCTGCTTCCTGTCAGTTAACCAGTTTTCGATCCAAGCTGCCACAGTTCCTAAAATCCCTGCAGCTTTGAGCTTTAGCAAGAGCCGTTTGTGGGGGACAACATCAAAGGCCTTCTGGAAATCTAAGTAGATCACATCGTAGGCCTTTTTGTGATCAATTTCACTTGTACTGTAGCTTCCTCAAAGAACTCAAGTTGATTCGTTAAACAGGATCTACCTCTCCTAAATTCATGTTGGCTATCCCTCAGAATGTTATTTGCATCTAGGTAATCTAACATTTTCACTTGGATTATAGCTTCCATTATTTTTCCAGTAATACTAGTTAAACTGATTGGCCTATAGTTTGCTGGATTACTTCTATCCCCTTTTTTGAATATGGGTGTTATATTAGCATGCTTCCAATCTGATGGTACCACACCCGCAGATAACGATTTCTGGAATATTAAAGTTAAAGGTTGGCTAATAATATCCCTCATCTCTTTTAAGACTATAGGTAAGATGCCATCAGGGCCCTGCGATTTATTTATTTTGAGTTTAGCTAGGCTTAGTATCACATCAGCCTCAGTTATACATATATTGGTCATAGACGACGCTGTATTCATACTAATTGGTGGTAAATTACTTGTGTTCTCTACTGTAAACACCCGTGAAAAATAATCATTAAACTCATTTACTATATCAATTTCATTTTCAATTATAATAAGGCCCTTACTCTCCTGCAGATTAGTGATTTCAGCTTTTAGAGCTCTTTTGGAGTTAAAATATTGGAAGAAACTTTTATCATCCTTAGCCTCCAATGCAATTTTTCTTTCTACATCCCTCTTGGACAGTCTAATGTTATTTTTCAACTCTACCTGTAGAGTGTCATTTTTGTGTATGCCTTCTTGGGTGAGCTGCTGCGTCTGCCACAAGGGGGCAGTGTTAAACACAACACATTGTCCAGTAGCTATGGAGCTAACGCTAATTTCCCAACTCTCCGTGAAAGTGAAAGATTTTTTCCCCATATTCATTCAATTTTATAACTTTCTTCCAAATTGACTGTTTTTCTTGGCACTGAAGGCTCATGTGCTCATACCCATATTGGGAGTGACACAAAGAGTCAGTGTGTTTTTTGTCT